CATGAAGGGCAGGTGGTTGACGAGGAAGCAGAGGCCGGCCACGGCCAGCGTGGTGCCCCACCGGAAGTCGGAGGCGGGTGAGCGCGGCGGGCCGCTCCCCCGCGAGGCGCCCGCGCCCTTGTGGCTGCGCAGCGGCAGCGCGGGCGGCGGCCGATGCGGCGGCGGCGGCGGCACCAGGTCGGACGCGGAGGACGCGGCGCGCAGGGCGCCAGCGGGCGCCGAGGACGCCGTAGAGGAGGCGGTGGAGGCGGAGGAAGCGGCGGGCGCGCGCGCGGCGCTGGAGGCGGTGGAGGAGGCGGTGGCGGTGGCGATGGGCGCCAGGTCGGAGTGGGCGCGCGCGGGCACGGAGCAGCCGCGCCCCGCCTGCACGACGCCCGCGCTCACGCCGCCCGCCAGCGCCAGCACGCCGTACACGCTGAGCACGAAGAGCGCGAGGCGCACGTGCAGCGCGTGCGGCAGGAAGCTGCAGTGCTCGAAGGCGGCGGCGGCGTCGGCGGGGCGCGCCAGCAGCGCCGCCACGCCCACCAGCGCCGCCACGGTGGCAAGCACCGCCAGGTGGTAGCGGATCTGGTGGCGGCGCACGGAGAAGCGGTACTTGTAGGGCCACTGGCACGTGAGCGCGCGGTCCACCAGCAGCGACGCCAGCGTGGCCGCCTGCAGCGCGCGCGTGGCGCTCAGGCTCCACACGAAGGCCCCGCACGCGGCGCCCGACTCGGGCTGCATCAGGCTGAGCAGCGCGAAGGCGAACACCTGCAGCGCCATCAGGAGCTCCTGCACGAACACCGCCAGCAGGAACAGGTCGACGGAGCGCCAGTGGCGGCGGTAGGAGTGGAACACGCCCAGCGCCCACGCGCACACCAGGAACACGAGGGGCGCCGCCGCCGACAGCCCGATCCAGCTGTAGGTGAGCGCGCGCATGATGACGGCCATGGCGCGGGGGCGCTCAGCGCGCGCGGGCCGCCGCGAAGGGCATCGCCGGCGCGGCCTGCGAGTCACGCCCGGCCGCCTCGCCTCGCGGCCATCGCGGGGGCGGCGGGGGGCGGCGGCGGAGGGCGCGGGCGGGCGGCGCGGGCGGGGGGCTGGGCCGGCGGAATCACGGCGACGTCACACTGCAAAGAGAGGAAGGCGTTAGTGGCGCCGGGGACGAGGCAGGTCAAGGGGTAGCTTGCGTCTCGAGGAATAGGCTCTGAGAACGCCAAGTGAATGGCAGTTGATCAACGTTTCATCAATTCAAGAATATCCTTCACTGCATTTGCACCTATCAAGGCAACCATCACAGCGACTGCCATTTATCCAGTGCCAGCATCATACCTCCCGCGTCCTTCAGCATCAATGGCGTCACTATAACCATCATCCCCCCCCCCCCCAACATCCACAGTCCATCATCATCATCTTCAACAGGATCAAAATCACTACCACTACCACCCCCCTCGAGAGCCCCCCCCCCCCCCCCGCGGCGGCAACCCGACCCACCAGGAGCGCCGTGTCCTTGGGGCGGCGGCTTGTCTTCGAGTGTCGGGTTTCTCTCGGATTTTTGCTTTATTTGTCTCTTCTCGCTGTTTGCTCTTCTCGTGTATTCATTCTCTCTTCCTCTTTCTCTCTTTCATGCTCTTCTCTCTTTCCATATCCACATTTTCTCTCACTCACTCGCCAACTCACCCACTCACTCACCCACTCATGAGTGAGTGGGTGCCACTCACTCATCCACTCACTCACCCACTCACCCACTCACCCACTCACTCACTCACTCACTCACCCACTCACTCACCCACTCACCCACTCACTCACCCACTCACTCACTCACCCACTCACTCACCCACTCACTCACTCACCCACTCACCCACTCACTCACTCACTCACCCACTCACCCACTCACTCACTCACTCACCCACTCACTCACTCACTCACCCACTCACTCACTCACCCACTCACTCACCCACTCACTCACTCACCCACTCACTCACTCACTCACCCACTCACTCACTCACCCACTCACTCACTCACCCACTCACTCACCCACTCACCCACTCACTCACTCACTCACTCACTCACTCACCCACTCACTCACTCACCCACTCACTCACTCACCCACTCACTCACTCACCCACTCACCCACTCACTCACTCACCCACCCACTCACTCACTCACCCACTCACTCACTCACCCACTCACTCACCCACTCACTCACTCACTCACTCACTCACTCACTCACCCACTCACTCACTCACCCACTCACTCACTCACTCACTCACTCACTCACCCACTCACTCACTCACTCACTCACCCACTCACTCACCCACTCATCCACTCACCCACTCACTCACCCACTCACTCACCCACTCATCCACTCACTCACTCACTCACCCACTCACTCACCCACTCACTCACTCACTCACTCACTCACCCACTCACTCACTCACCCACTCACTCACTCACCCACTCACCCACTCACTCACTCACTCACCCACTCACTCACTCACCCACTCACTCACTCACCCACTCACTCACTCACCCACTCACCCACTCACCCACTCACTCACCCACTCACTCACCCACTCACTCACCCACTCACTCACTCACCCACTCACTCACTCACCCACTCACTCACCCACTCACTCACCCACTCACTCATCCACTCACTCATCCACTCACTCATCCACTCACTCACCCACTCACTCATCCACTCACTCATCCACTCACTCATCCACTCACTCACCCACTCACTCACCCACTCACTCATCCACTCACTCATCCACTCATTCATCCACTCACTCATCCACTCACTCATCCACTCACTCACTCATCCACTCACTCACTCATCCACTCACTCATCCACTCACTCACCCACTCACTCACCCACTCACTCACCCACTCACTCATCCACTCACTCATCCACTCACTCACCCACTCACTCACCCACTCACTCACCCACTCACTCACCCACTCACTCACCCACTCATTCATTCGCTCGCTCACTCACCCACTCACTCATCCACTCATTCATCCACTCACTCATCCACTCACTCACCCACTCACTCAACCACTCACTCACCCACTCACTCACCCACTCACTCACCCACTCACTCACCCACTCATTCATTCGCTCGCTCACTCATCCACTCACTCATCCACTCACTCATCCACTCACTCGTGCTATCTCCTCCTCCCCAAAGGATATATTTGCCTCAATAAAACTGCTGTCTAATTTCACCTCTGTCTCAGTCACTGTCTCTGTTACATTCTTTTTTACATTCTCTCATATTTCTCCTCGCTCTTATTCCAAATTCTCTTTCTCTTTCTATTTCTCTCTCTATCCTCACTTCGCCCGTTTAAGATGTGGGCATTTGTTCCGGTAAAAATCTCAGGTGTGTTTATAACTAGTCTGTGTGTTTCTTCTTTTCATATTTCTTTTCTTTCGTTGTTCGTAGGCTACTTATTTGTCTATCTCTCTCTCTGTGTCTCTCTCCTATCTTCTCCCTCTCTCTGTCTCACTTCGTCCCTATCTCCCTCTACCTTCCCTTTCTCTCTCTCTCTCTCTTTCTCTCTCTCTCTCTTTCTCTCTCTCTCTCTTTCTCTCTCTCTCTCTTTCTCTCTCTCTCTCTCTTTGCCTTCCCTCCCTCTCTTTCTCCTCTCCATTCCTCTCCTCTCCTCTCCTCTTCTCCCTCATTCTCTCACTCTCTCCCTCCCCCTCCCTCTCTTCCATCTCCTCCCTCCCCCTCTCCCCCCATTAGCACTCTCTCCCCCCCTCGCACTTACTCTCTCTCCCTCCTTCCCACTCCCTCCCCCTTCTTCCCACTCCCTCTCCCTCTCCCTCTCCCTCCTTTTCCCACTCCCTCCTTTTCCCACTCCCTCCCTCCTTCCCTCTCCCCCCTCCCCCCACTCCCCCTCCCTCTAAAAAAATTTCCCCAGTAAGCGATGCAGCGAGACAGACGATTCCCCATACTTTCCCACGGTCGTCCAAAGTGACGAGGCAAGACAGACAGCTGGCGAACCGCGGGGGGGGGGGAGTAAATTTCTCGAGAGAGATGTCGGGGTTTCGGAAAGAAAGAGAGAGGAAGGAGATGGGAGAAAAGAAAGTGGGTGGGAAAGGGAGAGGGAGAAGAGAAAGTGTGTGGTAGAGAAAAGAAGAAGGGAGGAAGAGTGAGGGAGAGAGAGAGAAGGATTGAGAGGGAGAGGGAGAGGGAGGGGGAGGGGGAGGGGAGGGAGGGAGAGAGAGGGAGAGGGAGAGAGAGAAGGATGGAGAGGGAGGAGGGAGGGAGGGAGGGAGGGAGGGAGGGAGGAGGGAGGGAGGGAGAGAGAGAGAGAGAGAGAGAGAGAGAGAGAGAGAGAGAGAGAGAGAGAGAGAGAGAGAGAGAGAGAGTGTGTGAGTGACACAGAGAGAGAAAGAGTAAAACATAAAAAAAAATGAAGAACATGAAACAACAAAAACATAATAAGATGGAATCAAGGAAGAGAGACGTATAAGGATAAAGAATAATAAAGAAGAAAATGGAGAAAAAGACATTATAATAAAATACAAAAAAGGGATAAAGCGCCGCAGAATAATACAAATGAGAAGAGATAGAGAAAACGAATAAAAGGGGGCACAGATAACCACAAAAACAGTAGATAAAGAGAAGCAGAAGTTAAAAAATAATAAGAAAGAAAGAACCATGAAACAATTAAAGACGAAAAAACTGGAGTAAAAAAATAAAAGAAAAACAAAAAGGGAAAATCAGAAATGAAGAAAAAGAATAACATATGATAATATTGATAAATAATATGAGATAGAAAAGAGAAAAACAAATAATCGATAAAAAAAAGAAAATCAAAACAGAAGTTGGAGAATAAAAGATAATAATAAGAAAATGAAGAAAACGAGATCAAAGGATTTTTTAAAAGTAAATAAAAACAAAATAAAAAAATAACATAAAAACCGAAGAATAAAAGATAATAATGAATAAAAATAATGATAATGATGATAATAATAACAATAATAATAATAATAATAATAATAATAA